CCAAGCGAAAGTCCCCAAAACATATGATGATACAACATACAAACAATCACTCACTCACTCAATCAATCAATCAATCAAACAAACAAACAAGCAAGCAAGCAAGCAAACAGACACGCGCACACCCAAACATGCGACGAACCCCAAAAACCAAACACGCAAACCATGTTGCTTTCTGAAGAGGGAAGTCGTCATGACGAGGTCAAATTGAGCTTCCATTTCCCCCGCCCATTTTCTCAGCAGCAGTAGACAACTGAAAAAGCGTTTCAGGGTTGCTCCGAAGGTAAACAAAGCAAGACAAAGCAACTGTCTACCGTTGTGATTTGGTCATGCTTAGAGGCTCGGAGTAACCGTGCGTGTGTGTGTGTGTGTGTTCCTTTCTCTGCTTCTTTTTCGGCCAGAGCGCGTGACGTCGATGGTATCCATGTCGATGACATGGATGTCCGTGAAGCCCGAGAGGGCTAAGTCCTGAAGGATCCGAAATTCGCTCATCATACTGTAGATGGGACATCCTGCACAGGGCAAATGACACTGGGATATACCAACTGGTGCAGGACTCTGTCCATCCACGGCAGGATTCCACCCCCGCCTCACCCCGACCTCTTCATCCGGGGGGAAAAACAGAAAAGCGGCCAGAATTAGTAAAATCTAAATTTTCCATTTTCCGATTCGGAACTCGCGAGTAGGAGTTCCGGTTCCGAATATGTCCCCTTTAAAGCTCACTTAGCTTCACTTCCTAAGTGGATTCGCCAAAAAACAAAACTTGGAGCGAGGCACCAAAAGAATTAAGAAATCTTTAAGGCGGGTATATAGGTAGGGGTGCGTAGTTGAGAGCCACTTTAGGAGACCCCCCCCTTGAACCACCCCTCCTTAGGGACTCCATAAAAGAAACTCAGCAGAGTCCTTGAGGATCTCGCAGCCCAAACCGCCTGCGCCAATGACCAACACCTGGCGTCTTTTGGTCAAGGCGTGGTGCCTGTTTCTGGATCGGTACGAACTTCTGTTGTGGTTTTGAAGGGACGGCAAAACGAAACCCACAATTTTGGGTACCAATTTGTTTGTGGTTAAAGGGACACCCAAAGGAAAACCAACATCCATTTTTGGGGCGAAAGAAGACACACACATTTCAGTTGGGTGAAAGTAGATGCGGCACAGTTCCCGCAACTGGGTTGAGTCATTTTCTTTACTTACCGGAACAAGAAACGAAACGCGGCCATCACTTTCACCCCGTTTGGAGGGCCATACTGACAAGGGGTTTTCGCTGTTGGCATGGGTCCTCTCCTCCGGAATCCGAGGTCAAGGAATCGTGGGTCCGACCAACCCCCTGAAGTTCCAGCGCTTGGTCAGAAAAAGGGGAGCCCCACGGGTTCTTTGGGTGCGGAAAACCTGGACCGGGCAAACAAATATATGCGTTACCATGGTCGAACCCTAAGCCCCTAGAAATATGCAGGGTTACCCCCCCTAGAAACTCGTTGGGTTTGCCGAAAGAAAGCAATTCAAAGGTCGTGGGTTCTCCTACCCTGACACCTTTCGAGGTTTCGAAAACGAAATTGTTTCTGGTGCTGATATGGGCAATCTAAGGCCCAACGCCATCTTGGTAATGTCAACGGACCGTACTAATCAGGTGTAATTCCCTTGTAGAAAGGACATGTGCTATCCTACAAAGCTCGTCAGTCTGGTATGCGTAGTCAACATCATATGCCGGAAAGCGCCAATCACCAATGTGTGTTTCCCTTAGTGGGAAGAACCTGCCTGATGGCGACCAAATGCTACTGTAGGGCTGAAAAACAAAATAAACACGTGGTGGGGACCACATAAACAGATTGCGTCATGATCATTAGATAATCATGCGCATATGTGTCCTTTTGGGGCGAATAGATGGCCCTGGTAGATGATGAAACCACCCGGTAAACCAGGGCCATCGATTTGTCCGACCAAAACAACCAAAAAGGACACCTATGATCATGCGTGTACTTTTGTGGCTACGTATGTCACTACAAGTCTGCTTCATGGTCTCTTCATGAGACCTGGCGGCTTGGAGGTGAAGGTTTTGCGAGGGCGAACATTCCAACCTTGGTCCCTTCTGGGGTTCGTTGGGTACACAGAGGAACAAAAACAAAATGGACAGCTTTCGCAAACGCCCGCTGCACTTCTAAGTTGGGTGGGTAATCAAGTTTCAGTGGGAAATCCTCACAATTTAGATCCCCTCCCAGCGGATGCCGTCTGTATGATGAAAAACAGGGACGGCATGCCCTCCTGAAGCTGTCCTCAGGTTGAAATCTGATTGAAATCTGGTGGTTGGTACTATCTCATGTCCATTTGAAACCAATCAGAAGGGGGGTGGACTCTGCTTAAAGTTTGCTGGTTGGTAATCAAAAGTCCCGAGTGGGGTTGCCTCAAAATTTGGGAACCCACAACAGTTGTCTTAAGTTTGATGTCCATTTGAAACCAAAAAGGTGTCTTCGTCCTTCACGTAATTCTTGATTGGAGACTGAGGACGAGATGAAGAGAAAAGAGAGGTAAGGAAGGTGCAAGTGATGAAGAGGTGGGTGTCCGGGAAACTCTCTAAATCGGGGAGCACGCGGTCCCCCTCCTAAAGAAACAAGATGTGAATGAGGGTTGCATTCTCCAGGGTCCCTGTTGGTTGCCATTTTTGCACTGAGTTCCCACTGACATCCTCAACATTGCCCAGGTGGTTGAAAATGGTTGAAAGAGCAACAATGACAAAATCAAACAGAGAAACTGGCTAAGCTTCCTCCATTGACTGTTCCTCCCCCAAAGAACAATGAGCACATATTTCCAGTAGTGAGATCCATTCCCATTAATTAAAGCCAGGGGAGAATAACACACATGGGTGTGTCTTTCTTTCGGCCCCCCAAAATGGATGTCGGTTCCCTGAAAATCACAAAAAGGGGTACCATCAAAAAAGAGCCGACCCATATTTGCTTGCCCTCCAGGTGTTCAACTCCGAGCTTTCCCTTGGCCCATGGTAACCTCTGGGGATTTCAGGACGAACTTCTGACGTAGTGTCCGCCTTGCAGCTGTCCCGGAGGTAGCCGATGGTCTCGGGCCCCGGCTCGAAGGCATCGGGGTCTGCGAAGGGACCTTCGCCGATGAAGGGGTCTGGATATCCATTGGAAGGGTTTGGACCTCAAGAAGGGCCTTTTCCTTTTCTTGAGGTTCCAAGAGACGGGGTGTTTTGGACCCTTTATTCTTGAGTGTTTGGCCGTGGCTAGAAACCTAAGTTATAACCGGCTGCAAGCCGCTAAAGTGGAGTTGACCTTGTTACTGGGAGGTAGCCCAGGTGGCCAACCATTTGCTAGCTTGGCCGAACATCCAAGTAGGGGCCTGCACATCCATTGGAAGGGGAAGACTCTTTTTGAGGCCCCAAGATTCTTAGGGTGGTGAACAACAATGGCTAAGTGCTCTCAGTGGGTTTTACGCAGGATAACTCAGAGGTACTAAGCACTAAGTAGGACGGTTTTTGCAAGGAATGCCCCCCAGCGTTAAGACCTGGCCTTTGGGTTGTTTCGCTGTGAAAGGGCGTACAAAAAAACATCTCCTGAAGGAGCTTGTCTTTGAGTCGGGGGATGGCTTGTCGGGTCCCCTGACATAGCGTGTGTTTTTTTCCCCCGAACTCATCCCTTGGAGGAGCCTTAGAAAGCAAGGCTAGGGAGGGATGTTATAACCACGCCATCAAATATGTCAGGATCCCGATTCCATCTTCCGAGCGGATCAGGTTGTTAAACTCAGAACGGATATTGTCATGTGCAGAGACGTACCCAAACTAAAACATCCATACGGCCCATGCAGTATGATGCAATATATGTTCCAGGCCGTGGACCCCCCCCCCAACCCCCCCCCCCCCTGTGGTGGGGTGGGTGGTGGGGTGGTGGGGTGGTGGGGTGGTGGGGTGGTGGGGTGGTGGGGTGGTGGGGTGGTGGTGGTGGGGTGGTTGGGTGGTTGGGGTGTGGTTCGGAGTTGGTTTAGGCTTGGTGGGTTGGTTTAGGGTTGGTTCAGGGTTGGTTCAGGGTTGGTTTGCGGTGGGTTTCGGGTTTGGGGTTTGGGTTGATTTAGGCTTAGGGTTGGGGTTAAGGAGGGGTTGCAGGGTGGTTTGGTTTAGGGTAGGATGTTGCGAGAGGTGCGGGGGTGTTGGTTCACGGGGTGAAAGGGGGTCTGGGACGGAAGCTGCAGGGCTCGCACGGTACTGGACAGCATCCCCAGCATTGCCAGCATCATCCCCAAGATGCGGATGATGCGGGGGAGTGGGGGCACCATACCATTGGGGGGGGGGGGGGGTACGTGGCCCAGGGACTGGTACATATATAGGTGGCTTTGTTTGCCAAAAAAGGGAAGATATAAATCTCAGCTTCACCCTGTACCTCAGTGGTCACGGGGACCAAATTGCCCTCTTTGGTCTGGTTCCCATTTGGGCAGACCCTCCCTTCAAACAAGAGCACATAACATGACAATGCCCCACTGCAGGTCTGGGCTGAAGCCGAGCCACTCCGCCTCGAGATCACCCGAAAGACGTGGCCATGCTTTTGGCTTCCCAGCATGGCCGCGCGTCGCGTGCGCGGGGGTTCCGCTTCGCACTTTGCGGGAAGCGCTGGAGCCGAATGGCAGAGAGGCTGGAGCATGAAACAACCATTTGCAAGAAACCCATTTCCTACAAGGAGACTTGCTTCATCAAATATTCGAACTATAACATAAATGTACAAGCTTAACGAGTCCCCAAGGCAATCTTCCTCTCCCACAAACAAACTTGCGACAAACATCAGGGGCCCGCCAAGAATTTCCCCTGTCAGGGGTTCCTTCTCAATTCACATTGGCCAAACGCCGCCAAAAACGGAAACACAGATTCCTGCACCTCAACAAATCCCTAAAGAGACGCCTTTTGCACCGAAACTCCTGGGCGAATTCCCTTGTTCCTGGGGAGGGAACGGTCCTTTGGTCTGATGGGTTCTCCCGAAACAAAGAGCCCTGCCCGCCGAGCCCCGCGCGCAGGCGGGGCTGTGGCACTCCGACTCGTGGTTGCCTACGAACCCGGCAGGAGGTTTTGGGCGTTTCTTTTCTTCAGGGTACCAGCCTTGTTTTGGAAGCCTTGAAATTTGAAAGGGAACCAAAGGAAAACCACTTTGCTTTCTGTTGTTCTTTGGGGGGGGGGGCAACGGAAACTCTGCTTGGGAGCTGGGGCTTTTAGGGCCAAAACCCAGAACCTAACAAAATTGAGCCAAAATGGCACACGCCATTTTGGTGAAGCATTTCTCACACAAGCCATGGTTCCACATGTTCCAACATTTGCAAAGTAGACAAATAGCAATTGCAGGAGCGACTGCTTCGAAATTGTCGCACTTATTTTTGGTATCGGGCGCCTTTTCGGGGAGCTACGGTAGAAGGTTTTCGCAATCTTAAGAACTTATCTCAGAGGCTCGCTTCAGCAAAGCGATATCCTGGTGGCCAGGAGACAGACCGCCGCAGCTCGTGAATGGCTCGATTCTTTCTTTCCGGGCCAGTTGCACACGCCCAAGAAATAAACTTGTCACTCATCCCCTAGCAGTCTGCCTGATTCATGCACACACCCGGGATCACAGCAGCAACCATCGTCGGGCATGTCCAATCCCAGAACTTGCCTGGATTCCTTCCCAGGGCCAACCCAAAATAATGATTGGCGTTCATAAACGCCGTTGGGTGAGAGAATAGCCTTGGGGTCTCTTTGTCCTGGCAATATATGCTAGTTATCTTCCTCATGGTCCATTCCTTTCGTACCTTTCCAAATGGTTAGGATGTGAGCGAAAAGAAGAAGGACAAATCATAGAACAACGAATCCAGATGACTTCATCGCTGCCCTTTGAGCAGAACTCCCTTCGGTCTTTGGGGGTCCAAGCCAGTTCCCGGAGGACTTTTTCTGAGGCTGCCATTCTCCCGGAGCCGGAACTACAGGAAACTCTAAGCTAATGTAATCAACTGGACTTCCTGACTTTCTTGCGTCCCCGTCCCATGCTCCAAAGTTGGGAACGTAAAGCGATGATTGACATAACTCGAAAAGGGAACAGGGACCCCTTGAGCAACCTCTAATGACAGGAATCAATTTAAAATTGGTTTGCCTGCAACTGCATACCGCCCCTTCACTGACCTGTCCGAAACTTATAAAGACACATGCTCATGCTTTGCTCGACTTTAAGCTGAGATTGTTGATGAGAACACGAGTTGGTGTTTACCGCATAAACACAATGTAGTATCTCGCTTTGTTTTGACCCAGCTGCACGCCCGACGTCGGTTTCGGGCGCCTGCTGCGACCATGTAAGGCATGCTCGAGGTCAAATTCTCGAGCCAATTCATGTAGCCGTTGTAGGCGCTCTCGTAAGTGAACCTGGCGCTCAAACAGGGCGTCCCGCTGTCAGCAACAGGGGAACCCCCATTCTTCCCAACCGGGAAAAATGTAACATATATAAATATATATATATATATATGTATATATGTATGTAAATTCAAATGAGCCTCGTGCAGGAAAAAATACGGACCTTGTTGAATTTGCTGTCAACTTAAGTGCGGTTGAAACCACCCCATGTCACCATCAGCTTTGGCCGGCGGGGGATGTCTCAAACGCACACAAGAAAGGTCCAACTAACACGAAGCCGTGATCTATGCTTTGCTCCTTTTAAAGTGTGCTGTGCTCTCCCTGAGAAAAACACCTGCTGACAGATCAGGACCAGGGGCCCTGTCCCTTTAACCTGACGTACAACCTGTGCGTCATGGTCAACATGGGCAAGTCAAGTGGGTCCCTAAGGGGTTGATGACCATGCCTACCAACCTCATGGTGGGTCATTGGACTATGGCACCGGTCGATTTGGTGACAGCATCATTTGCTGGGTGAATCATGATAAGTCACCTGAGATCTGAAATGGACCCCAAAGATCGGCTGGTTGACCTTTGACAAAACCCGGGGGGGTTCGTAGCTCAACAAATAAAGGGTATCAATCTCCAAATCCCTCCAACTGCTTCACGGGGCTTCTAACATGCCACCTATGATGTGCAGCAACCAATGGTTGAACAGGGATCCTTACATTATACACCTGAACATTGCCTTGTAAATGGAAGTTTCCCTTTATTTTGGTGGAAAAAACATGCTTCAAATTGGCCAACATGTATCTTTTAAGGAGCCCTGCTGAAGCAGCGGGTTTGGTCATGGGTCAACATTAACAATCCTCTCATGGATCCACGGCAATAAACGTGAACTTAGTTGCTGGTCACTGGAGACAGTGGGTCGGAAGCCAAAGGGAACCAACAACTCTGCTGTTCCCAGATCCCCTAAGAGTCTAACTTGTGGTGGTTTAGTGGAAACCCCCACTAAACCCCAAAAACCTACTACAACCTCCATCACTCTTCCGGAATCTTAGCCAGCCGCTCCGAACCACTCCGGATCTGGGCAGAGACCGTAAAGCAACCAACAACTGTGCCAGAATTGATGCGTCGATCTAGCCGTCGGTTGGCAGCGCCCAAAACCCATTGAGACTTGGTTCTATCCACATGGAAACGAATCAAGGTTCATGTTGGCTTTGACCCAATCAAACCTTAAGTAGTCGAACCACCTGCTAAAATGGCCCTTAGGGCTTTGGGCGCTGATTTTTTGGCTTCCAGCCAAAACCGCCTGACGGGCGAGTGGGCGTAGGAGTCGTCCATATACCCGATGTCCCCGAGGTGCCAAATCCAGTCCTTCAGCTCAGGGGCACAGAAAAAACCTTTGAACCATTGCTTCAAATGGGTGTCTTGTTTAAGGTTGGACCCCCCATTTTCCCTCCAATACCAACCAAAAAGGTATTTTTCTAGGGGACGACCCCTCAAAGAGGTTGGTCTTCTTTTTTGGTTGTCTGTCAAACCCACCAAAAAAGGGGTGCCCTCAAAAAACACACACCTCGACATGGCTGCTGGTCAAAAAACACGGAACCCCTTCAATTTGCCAAGTTGGTATTGATTATGGAGAGTGCCTTCCAAGCGTTCGACATAGCGGCTCAGAAAGGATCATTGCCGCATCCTCTCATCGCCCAGACTGGCCTTTAGACTGTTCCTCCGATCCACTAGAGATGCTGCTTGGGCAAATCGACACGCGACCCAAAAACTGACCTTTGGAGACTTTGGAAGGATTTTTGTTTTGCGGGACCCCGCTCGCTCAGTTCCTTGCAACTTGGTTTTTGGAGTAGTTCAAACAGTCGACCTGCTTTTGTAATTTCTTCCCAGGATCACGGCCTCAGAAAAAATAACCATTTGGATCTGCGGGGAGATCCTACAAACGGGTACGTTTCGGACCATCAAATTGGCTTAGGGAAGCTGCGTGTGCAATTTGGTAAGGGTTAGGAGTAGCCATGCATAAGTACTTTGCTGGATTGCAACATTTACTGTGGGATGTTTATGTCTTAGACCAAACTGTGGCCTCTTTACTTTGCATTCATGTTGACCTATGATTAATAAATAGGGCCCCCCCCCCTGAATGACCATAAATAAAGATTAGGGGAGAATTTTCAGGGTCGGGCTTTGTTTAATTGGGCTCTGCTTTTTTGGTTTTCGAATACTACTTTAGAATTGGGCCAATTCACAAGTAGTATTGGCCATGTTGTTTTTTCTTATTTTGCATTGGGGGAATACTAGTTTAGAAATGGGCCAATTCTAAAGTAGTATTGAGCCAAGAACTTTTGCATGGCATTCATGAGGGTTTGCATGGGCTGGCATGCATTCCAGGAGGGATTGAGAAGCACATTCATGAGCGTTTGAGTCGGCTGGCATGCATTCCAGGAGGGATTGGGAAGGACATTCATGAGGGTTTGCATGGGCTGGCATGCATTCTAGGAGAGATTGAGAAGGAAATTCATGCGGGTTTGCATGGGCTGGCATGTATTCCAAGAGGGATTGAGAAGGAAATTCAAAAGTATGAGGGTTTGCATGGGCTGGCATGCATTCTAGGAGGGTCATAAGAGGGATTGAGAAGGACATTCATGAGGGTTTGCATGGGCAGGCATGGAAATTCATGAGGGGTTGGCATGTATTCCAAGAGGGATTGAGAAGGAAAGGAGGGGTTGAGAAGGACATTCATGAGGGTTTGCATGGGCTGGCATGCATTCTAGGAGGGGTTGAAAAGGACATTCATGAAGGTTTGCGTGGGCTGGATGGTTTGCATGGGCAGGCATGTATTCCAAGAGGGATTCCAAAAGGGTTTGCATTGGCAAGTTCAACAGTAGTATTGGGCATGGTTTTCTTATTTGTTTGGGGTGGATTCTAATTCAGTTCTGGGCCAATTCTAAAGTAGTATTGGGCCAACAACTTTTGCATGAAGTGCATTAAGATTTGCATAGGCGGGCATGCATTTCAGGAGGCATTCAACATGAAATCCATTAGGATTGACATGGGTTGGCATGCATTTTAGAAAGGATTCAGCATGCCGTTCATGAGGTTTTGCATGGGCTAGTATGAATTTCAGGAGGCATTCAACCTGAAATCTATTAGGATTTACAATGGGTTGGCATGCATTTTAGAAAGGGTTCAGCATGACATTCATTCATGAGGGTTTGCATGGGCTAGTATGCATTTCAGGAGGCATTCAACATGAAATCCATTAGGATTTACATGGGATGGCATGCATTTTAGAAAGGGTTCAGCATGCCATTCATGAGGGTTTGCATGGGTTAGTATGCATTTCAGGAGGCATTCAACATGAAATCCATTAGGACTTACATTGGTTGGCATGCGTTTTAGACAGGATTCAGCATGACATTCATGAGGGTGTGCATGGATTTGCATTCATTTCAGCAGGTGTTCAGCATCAATTTCATGAGGACTGGCATGGGCTAGCATGCATTTCAAGAGGGATTCAGCATGGAAATCATTAGATTTTGCCTGTGTTAGCATGCATCCCAGGAGGCATTCAGCATGGCATTCATGAGGGTGTGCATGGATGTTGCATTCATTTCAGGGGGTGTTCAGCATCATTTTCATGAGGGTTTGCATGGGTTAGCATGCATTTCATGTTTTGAAGGATTCTGCATGACATTCATGAGGGTGTGCATGGATGTGCATGCTTTTCAGGATGTGTTGAGCATGAATTTCATGAGGGTTTGCATGGGTCAGCATGCATTTCAAGAAGGATTCAGCATGAAATGCATTAGAGTGTGCATGGGTTGGCATGCATTTTAGAAAAGATTCAGCATGACATTCATGAGGGTGTGCGTGGATTTGCATGCATTTCAGTAGGTGTTCAGCATCAATTTCATGAGGGTTTACATGGGTTAGCATGCATTTCAAGAGGGATTCAGCATGGAAATCATTAGATTTTGCCTGTGTTAGCATGCATCCCAGGAGGCATTCAGCATGGCATTCATGAGGGTGTGCATGGATGTTGCATTCATTTCAGGGGGTGTTCAGCATCAATTTCCTTAGGGGGGTCAGTGACCATTAGCTTGGCCAGCGTTGCCGCCATGTCATCATTGAGCGATGATTCATGGATTGTTGCTGAATAAAACATAGACAATTGGAGGCATCAGTTTTTTTTAAGAGGGAATCTGGTTAGCATTATTCAGGGTCTGGTTATTATTTAGTGCACCAGAGTTCATGGGGGATACCCCTGCTGCCAGGGTCAACGTGTTGATTTTGATGGATTTTTAGAGGAATTTTTCAAGAAAAAGATCCCATAAAATTGTGGATGTTGGATAAATCTAGAATCAAGTGTGGGATGAGCTAAGTGGAATGGAAAGCTTGACCATGAAGAAAGATAAGGGGATCATTTGTTTTTTTTGATGGGGGAATCTGGTTAGCATTATTCAGGGTCTGGTTATTATTTAGTGCATCACGGTTCATGGGGGGTACCCTTGCTGCCAGGGTCAATGTGTTGATTTTGGTTGTCTTTTAAAAGGAATCTTAAAAGAAAGGGATCCCACAAATTTGTGGATTTGGGATAAATTTAGAATCAAGTGTGGGATGACCCAAGTGGAAAGGAAAGCTTGACCATGAAACAGATAAGGGGATCATATCGGTTTTTTGATGGGGGGATGTGGTTAGCATTATTCAGGGTTTGTTACTATTTAGTGCATCAGGGTTCATGGGGAATACCCTTGCTGCCAGGGTCAATGTGTTGATTTTGGTGGGTTTTTTTAAAGGAATCTTAAAAGAAACGGATCCCATAAATTTGTGGATTTAGGATAATTTTAGAATCAAGTGTGGGATGACCCAAGTGGAATGGAAAGCTTGACCATGAAAAAGATAAGGGGATCATATCGATTATTTTTCATGGGGGAATGTGGTTAGCATTATTCAGGGTCTGGTTACTATTTAGTGCATCAGGGTTCATGGGGAATACCCTTGCTGCCAGGGTCAATGTGTTGATTTTGGTGTTTTTTTTTAAAAGGAATCTTAAAAGAAACGGATCCCATAAATTTGTGGATTTAGGATAAATTTATTTAAGGGCTGCCGCCCTGTGCCGCCGACCCTTGTCTGCTTTTGTCCGAGCTCGGGTTTAGACCACGTGGAAGTGAAGAAGAAACTTGAGGGGGCCACCTCTCGAATGGTTTGGCAGCAAGCGGCCCCGATTAAAAGGTCGAACTTTTTGCTCAAGCAGAAGATCGATTTGTAACACAGTCCAGAAGCTGTGTTTTAGTAGAGCTTCCAGTCGCTACTTCTCCATGCCCTGGGACAGCATGTGATGCAATCTGTTTGGCGATGGCGTGCCTACACGCGGCTCCACGAGCTGCCACTTCCTCAAAAAGGACGGCCAAAAGGACTCGCTTCTCGAGTCTCTCGACTGCAATGTGTCGTATAGCGGAGGATGTCGGCGCCTTTCCAATTAGGTTCTTTTTATGGACCCCCTCTTTTATTGCAGCAGCAACAGGTTTGTTTCTGAGTCAAGACGTATGAGAGCTGTGCAAAGTTGCACATTAGCTGGGATAGAGGGTTGGGGTTTGCCAGAACCGAAAGTCCAGCGAGTGCTGTGCCTTTTTTCTTTGAAGGCGCTGGGGAGTGCTGAAACCCAGTGAGAAGCGGAAGCGAGATTCTAGCTTCGGTGGAGTCCTGTGACTTCCAGGCTCTGGGAAAGATGGCCTGGTGGGTTCAGTGAAGGAGTGGAAGTGACTCCAAGTGTTGGCGGGATTTCGACTTCTGGAGCTGCAATCCAGACCCCTCAACTGCAGAAATCTGAGGAGGGCCGGACTGTTCAGTTCAACGATCCTTGTTAACGCGGTGCGTCCTTTTTTGTCTCGATCTTTGGGAGAGGACCGGCGCTGTTGTCATTCCGCGGTGCGGTGTTCGCGAGTCGGCAGATCCTTCGTGTTTAGTACAAATGGGCAGGTTTACTGCTTGGAGCACGTGGTTTCATCACCACTCATCTAGCTAACAGTCTCAAGGGCAAATGCCGAGCGCACATTATTTCAGTATATATGTACATGTATCTCACAACAGGAATCCAACCCCCCAACTGGGATTTTGGTTTCTTTTCGGTTTCCTTTTGAACACACCCAAGTTTGCAACGCTGACCCTGATGTATAACACCTGCAAGCCTTTTGTCTAACGCGCATGACGCCAGGCGCCATCCTGGGCATGGATGTGTGCATTCGGAAGCCTTTGGTGGTCACCTGCGGCATCGACAAGTCTGCACGGGTTTGGACGCTCCAGCATGTTTTTTCTTGTCTGAGTCGCAGAGTGTTCGCCATCTTAACGACAATCCAGATCCCGCAACT